CTTCAACAGAGGCCAGTCGTGCAAACAACATTAGCAACTGCCACGTCAAGATCGGCTTAACTGCATTGAAAATGAATACAAATATAAGGCTCAAATATATCGCAAACTAGCGCGAAGAATGGAAGCATAAATCAGAGAAAAACAGAAAATTACGGGGTGAACTTAGGCATAAAGACTATTCGTCATTTACAGCCATTCATGCATGATGCCATCTAGGTTTCTGGTACAACTCTCACAGGCTTAATTTAACTGACAGATTGACCAATTTAACAGAAGGTAAAAAATGGAAGGCTATTAGAAACAGTTTTTGAAGTAGCCATCAACTGAACATCAAAGGTACAGGGGCACCCAGTCGAAATAACAGGTGGAAACAAGAAATATGTACCTCATTACAGCGGAAATCGGTACCTCAGGCAAATCCGAATGAAATATTAACCAAACTAGATAGGATTATCTGCACATTTCCGTTATTTGAACCCTCTAAAGCATTAGTTGACAACGACATACATATCAAACCGGCGAACACGGCGTGAGTCACTGCTAGTATAGGGTAGAAATCAAGGGCAGCAAATACAGCATCGTAGGCTCCGGAAAGCGGCTGCCTGAAGGCCCGTAATAACAATGGCCTCAGCACAGCTAAGGAGACCAACGAAAAGAAGTAGTACACGAAGGGAAGCGTGTACCTATGGAAAAAATTTTAAAAAATACGCTTTCAAGGATTTTTCATATATCTACTTACAACGGATATACGGCTTCCTGTGTACAGAACACCGTCATTGTGTAATTAATATTGGGATTCAAGAACATTGTGTACCAATCTTCCACTGACTCCACGCCACATGTCTTCAGCTGGAAGCTTCCTTTTGGGTCGAAGACGAACAAACTGGACAGCGCAGAAACGAACGTCTCAAGCGCAGCGGATAGAAGCTGAACCATCGTCAGTGCTTTAGACCTTGGATTTAAAGGTCAAGATAATCAATTATGACAATTAGTATACGCGATCTAATTTACACAGTATGCACATGTAACAAGAGAAACAACGCGCTGAGACAAATCTGCTTGCGAAGAGGAATATGGCCTTCACCACAGTCGTGAACGCTGCCTAAATTCAATAAGAAGAAACATTTCTAACGACTAGACATAATAAATCTACGATGTTCCGCTGTTCAAGTACTGCTAACCTCAGATGACGATGACAAACTAACAACAATAGAAAATTTCCTCTATCAATGTCTGAAAGTTAATACTAGTACTCACTACTGATTTTCGTAAGTGTCACATTTGAAATATTAATTTATATCTTAAGCTTTACAGTTGTTTCCGAACTTTGTGGCCCATGGCGACGAAACGGCAAAAGACAGAATAAGCTGACAGAAGACAGAAGATAAGCAGCACTAGCGAGTGTCCACCTACTGCAGATCAATGCAAAATGATCATCTACAGAAGGAACAGCTCATTAGTGCGCGCTGATTCTAATGCCAAATACATTCGAACGATACTAACACCTGTGTAATAAACACTGATACTACCAGTGACTAACTCGTAAAAGTTACAGTAAACCTAATACCATGAAAACAAGAGCACTGATAATACTCATAGCGATAGTAGTACAAGCCTCATTATAACTGCTACGAGTACCACCGGTACTTTCAGCAAGTATAATGCTAGTAGCGGCCATAGTAATACTGGTAATGACAGCAGTAGAGATGAATATCGTAACGACAGTAATAAGAGCATTAAAATGAAGAGTACTGGTAGTAATAAGAGCTTGAATGAATCGAAACTGCTGCTGGTAATAATTACACAATCACTAATAATATAAATGGTATTCAGACTCAAACTAACATTACCATGAATACAACCAGCAATACATCCAATAAAATTAGTAAATTTTTCATCTAATTAGAATCAAGCAAAGACATGACGAACAGTACGGTCAGAAAAGAACGTTCACACTGTTTTAAAGTCCTAAGCAATGTTCTAAAAACGGCATTACCTTTTATACGCCCTGTAGCCGGCGATGAAAAACAGGTGCAACAAAAATGGGGTAATGGCCACGAATCCCAAATAAAGCCGGTCGTACAAGATCAGGTCTGCTTCGCATGGGGTGCATATTCCATAGCGATTTACGCGGCTGCCCCAATCACATGCCTTAAAACAATAATTAGTAATAATGCTTAATAATGTCTTTGAGGACGAACAGTTTGGGGAGTTTTTGGCGTAAGATGATTAGCTATTTGCAGTTAAAGGTCTGAATTTTGCAAAGAACTGGATGAGATTAAGCCCTCTGAAGAAATGATTAGAGTCCATTACGACGTTAAAGACTTATATACTAAAACTCCTGCAAACCTTACCATTAAAATAATTGGCATACTTCTTCAAGGAGAGAATTCACTAAAACAACGTACTAACCTCTCAGCTTACCCTACGAGATTGTGCAGCATGCGGCAAAGCAAAGACACTCCCCCTGATGGTCTAAGTGCAGGAGCATCATTAAATAAAGACACCGGATGCATAGGCGCGTAAAGCACGTCTAATATTGCGAAAATCTCAAAGGTGACAAAGGATACGAAATCTGTACGTTGTGGATCAGTCCCGTCGCCCACAAACCATTTAACAAGCAGCATGGACTAAAAACTTGGTTTCTGATTCCGACCCATTGTCTGCTGTGGGCGACAAATGAAATTCACGAAACTCTACTACAACCTACCATCTTAAAGAAGGCTCCTGAAACAAAATCCCCCAAACGTCGGTATTGGTCAGTCATTAGACTGACCATTCTATCTACAGGGTGGTACATTATTAAACTGTGTTTTATTGCGTTTTTCAGTATGACCACCAACGTACAAACGAAATATTCTAAATTCGAATATAAAAATTGTTCCTTTGCAGTGCTCACTTT